GAAATGTATATTTGATTTCATAAAGGGCCTTTTGTGTATCAGGTGTGAATGTTCCTCGGACCACAGTCCAGATTAACAAACCAAATTTTTGTCCGAACAAAAGAGGTGGATTCCTTTTATAAAACCTGCACATTAATACTAATTTTGGTGTAAAAGAGGTACGGGTATCCACATATGCACTGCAGCTGAAACCGAGGTCTGACCATCTGCGTACATGGTCCCAACTTTTTTATAAACTGACTTGACTCACATCAGATATAATTGCATATCGTAGTTAAACAGACATGTCAATTAACAAAGCTCCTGTTCTATTTACGCACAAAGCTGTAATTAATGTGACCAGACACCGGTGTTTATTTTAGGTTTGGTGTGAAAATTGGCAGCTGTGAATTGTCAGGCTCAAATTCCAGAGTTCAATTTTGCTGTTGGCCTCAAAATCATGATTTAGTGTCATACCAGTACAGACTGGTTAAAGAACAATGGACATAGGATTGTCCGCCATCCTGTGATGTGTTCTTCAGTTGATGTTCTTTAGCAACATTGCCACACCTATTGATTCACCATTCTTTTATTTGTCAGGCTTTTTAAAAATCAAAAATAGGAATGTAGGTGGTGTTTTTCCAACACATACTTCACATTGTTTTTGTATTGCCTTCTTTTAGCTGCAGCTTCTATTGTGACTCATCTATCACATACATCAGACTACAGCCAACCCTAAGGTGTCATTATTGAAACACAATAGGCCTGGGAAGATGTGCAGTTAACACTGATCACTCACAGTTTGAAAAAAACAGTTCTTTCCTTCCAAACTTTGCTCATTCTTACTTCCAATTACTTCCAAGTCTGTTGCTGACCATCCCACTTTCTGCTTCTTCAGTGGGTCTGCTCCCTTCTATTTTAACGCAGGTGGCAACCAGCATCTAACTATAACGCATTTTCAGGAATGCACAAATTATACCTAATCTATTGGTCAAGTGAATAATTTAACTTTAGTTTACATTGAAACAAATAAAACACAACTGGAAGGTTTAGATCAAAAGAACAAACGTATTGTTTATAATTTTCAACTGTGAGATAGTTAATGAGAAAAACCACATTGTTTGAACAACAGCCTTCATATCCACTGATGCATTAACGTCCCGTCTTCTTCATTCAGGCTCCTAGATTTTCAGGTTTGCCAAAAACTCCCCTATTTCTCTGCACATCCTGTTTCTGTTTCTTTCTCTAATCCGCTCCAGAATACCGATGCTGTTGTCACGATAGAAAGATTGTTGTGGTATCGCTGCTGCTCTCATGTGGTATTCTATCGACCTGTGGCTCTCCTTCTGAATGAAATGTAAATGTTTTGCGTAGCAGTTGTAAAGCATCTGTGCTCCTTTAGGGTCCAGGTCACTGTCTAGCAGCTCCTCATAAATCTGCTCAGCTGCCGCCTGGCTGTGATTTGACTGTGCGTATATGGTCGCAAGAGATATTTTTCTTTTGAGTGAAGAATCGGGGTAAAGAGAAATCACCTCCCTGTAGAGACTAATCGCTCTGTCGACCACGCAGTGCTCCAGGGGACTGTCCCTGTCCAGAATGATTTTCATTTTGTAACAGACTGCAGCACATCTTTTCAGGTAGCGTTCGTCTGGATGCCTCTCTAGAGCCCCCTCTGCCAAATCAATAGCTTCATCCATAGATACGTGAATTGCGTATAGCCTTAGTAGTGGTTTGATTCCACTGTAGCTGCTAACAGGCTTTCTCAAAACCCTCCGGGCCAACGCACGAGCTTCATCTTCTACTTTTTGTCCTTTCCTGGTGCATGCCTCAAGGTAGAGAGCAGCAAGGTACAAGTTCTCTGGATCATGATCCTTTGCGATTTTCATTTTCTCCCAGATGTCCGCCCTCAGGTTGGAGTGTTTAAAGGTGTTTGCTAATGCCAACACGTGGCTGGTCTGCCACTCCACCATGTCCGGCTGCATCCTGATGGCTCTCTGGAAGTAATCAGCAGCCAGAAGCTTTTTTTCTCCGCTAAACTTCATCAGAGTCCAGGCTTTTTCAGCGCAGATCTCCGGATGCAGCTCCTCCTGCGATGGATGCTCAGTCATCAGGCCGTCGACCTTTGACAGACAAGCCAGACTCTCTGCTTGTTCTCCCTGACGATGGTGCAGCCAGGCCTGGTTCCCGTAGGTCACCACCAGCCAGGGACCCTCGTCTGAGACAGTGTTTCTTATTTGCCTGAAGGCCTCCGCGGCTCTGCTGAAGAAACTCCTGGCTTCTTCGATGGACCCCAGCTGGAAGTGGACGTACCCCTGCAGGTTGTAAATGTGACCCAGCCACTTGTATCCTTCCTCTGTGCCGATGTCCTGCAGCTTGTCCCTGATACGAAAAAGTTTGGACCTGCTGGGGTCCAGATCCCAGGTGAAGTGGCACTGCAGCGCCCCCAGTCTGTCCTCCAGTGTCGTGTCACTCTGAGCAGCACTGATGGAGAATGAAAACGAGGAGTAATATGTAATCAAATTATATTTGTATAGCCCAAATTCACAAAACACATTTTGCCTCAGAGGGCTTTACAATCTGTACAGGTAGTGACACCCTCTGTCCTTAGACCCTCGGTTCGAGTGAGGAAAAACTTGCCCACAAAAAACCCTTTTTAGTTTTTCTGCATCTGCTTGAGATACAATGCGTCTATTGTACAGTGAATCTATCAGGGCACAGCCACAGGGCATGGCAGAGCTCCAGACTCCTCCCCAACACAAGTGTCACTTACATTCCAAACTGCAATCAGGTTTTATTTTGTATTTCTGGTTGATAAGGAAAGTCAACCTCTTTGTTTTAAGAACATTGGGTGTTGCCTGTTTTTCTTTTACATGACTGATTTTTCAAAGAGGTAAAGGTGTGGCAAGCAAAATGTTAAAAAAAACCAGGGGCTGCTGCTTAAGATGTGGAAGATGAACTCCAGTCCATGTGCTGATATCTTCCAGAGTTCATGTCTGAAAACATTGCAGGTGAAAATGAAGGAAGGAGAAGATGAAGTAGGGTGAAAAATATAGATTCTATAAATGGAGGATGAAAGCACATCATGAGAGGTGTAGACCAAAGAAGCTAAAAAAACAGAATGAGGAGAAAGTAAGAGACAACGAATGAAAGGGGAAGCAAGGAAACATTGAAACATTGAATAAGGAACAGATGAGGAAACGCATTTCTTACAGGTGTCAAGTTTATGGTTTTGTTGCTACAGCCAACCTCAGCTTTAACAACTTTACATTTTCTTTAAAACAAGGGAGGAAAAGAAAGTACGGGAGTGAATAAACAGAGAATAAATAAATAAAAGGGACTTAAGCAAGGAATAAAGAAAAAGGGGCTCAAAGGTGCATTGGGCCAGCGGAGGAAATGGAGATTAAACAACAGGGAGAGAAAGAGAGGGTTGAAGGAGGGATGGCTCAGCAAAGTGGGGAAAGACAGAAAACTGAAAATAAGGAATAAACAAAGAAAAGATGAAGTCAGGAAAGAAGGAGCAGACAAGTTGTGCTCCAGAAACCGAATAAGTGGATAAAATGAAGGAGGGAGTAGATTAAGAAAGCAGCAAGGTGGAGAGAAAGGGAATGAAACTGAAGAGAGAGAAGTGAAGGACAGAAGGAAAGGAATAAATGTAAAAATGGAATGTAAAGAAATAAAAGGTCTATGAGGAAGTCAGTAACTTTGGATCCATGATATTTAACATTTTAATCACGTCATTGATTATTGATTATAGATACAACTATAGAACTAAGCACTGACTCACCTCATCGTCCAGCAGGACTCAGTAGTTTTCTCCTCTGTGTTCACTGCGTCTCTGGGTGCAGCATCATAAAACCATTAATGTTCAACTTTTATGCTGCTGTAAACAGAGAATTGTGCTGGAATTGGACTTTTGTTTCCAGGTATATACGTCTGCTTCGAGCTCAGATAACCGTCTCTCTAGATTTTTCCAGGAAGTTCATCTCAAAGATTCCACACCAGCGTTTAGGCTCTGATTCAGTTTTAATCCTTGTCCATACGATCACACCTGGAAACACATGTCACGTGACCACTCGCATACACTGGGCACGTATGTACAATTGTAAACAGTAAGTGTGTGTATAACATCTGTAGTCCTCCACATGTAAAAAGCTGTATCACTGTTAATTCAACCAACCAACAGCTGTGAGCGAAGACAACAGGTTCAGTTACTCTTGTGGTTGATTCTCCAGGTTGTGGGGTGAAATCAAAACACACAACACATGTAAAATAAAATCACACAAATCATATACAAAACAAGGTTTATGTGCATGTTGTTACCTTTTATTTTCATTTTGTGAAGCACTTTGTAACCTTGTTTAAATCAGTGCTATACAAATAAAGTTATTGGTATTATTACCATAAGGCCACAGTCTCTCACTTCTCGTTGAGTGCTCGTATCCAAGATATTTTGGCTTTATTTCTCGATAGTGGAGCCTCTTCTTCCATCTTTATTTCCACTCTATAAGTTGTATAACGATGTTTTTTATTTTTTAAACAAGATGCAAGAGTCAAAAATAGGCATCAGAAATAAATAAATAACATGCAATACTTAAGTGTAAGGAAAATTAAAAAATATAGAAAAATATGAATGGAACAGAAACTGGTATATACCGTGTAAAAACAAGAACAATATGTACAGTGAATGGATTGCACATGAACCATTGTGTTACATAGAGAGAAAGAATATTGCACAATTAATAGAGTTAAAGTCCATAACAGGTGTGTGTAGTTCTACTGCGAGCAGAGCTGGTTGCACAATGTTAATAAATAACAAAATCAAATGAATAAGTTATTAAAATTATAATTTATATATATATATATATATATAATATTGAAATAAAATATGATACATAAGAAGAAAATGTAATAAAAAAAACTCTAAATCAGTCAGCAGAATGAATGAGACCTATTGTAGTTAAACATCTGTCCTGTAGGTGGCGGTGATGAGCTCAGCAGTGTTGATGCTACAGAAAACCACAGGAGGAGAAGCTCAATGACGTAATATTCTCTGCGACAGAAACGCCGTGAGTCGTCGCACAGAGCTGTAGCATGTAGCATGTAGCTGCGGTTCCACTGCCACTTTACCGGGTTTTTCTTCGAGCTGTGAGACTCCACGGCTCATGTGCGCGTCAACGCGTCGACAGGAAACGGAAGTTAAAGTCGCCCTGAGTCTCACACACAGGCAGTTAGCTCTTGTTAGCTAAACCTGGTCGTTAGCTCCCTCTGCCGCCGCTGTGCTTGTTGTGTTTGCGGGGTTTCAGGTGACGATGTGACGGTCCCGCCGTGTCCCGGTGTCTGCGGAGCTGTGCATGTCCCGGCCTCCCCCCGCAGGTGGAGGAGGGCAGGCGGAGGAGGGTCTGCTGAGCTCAGTGTCGGGAGGATGGAGACCTGGACCCCCAACCCCCGAGCCAAGCCCTTCGTCCCGCGCCAACAGAGGAGCCTGTACCTCACCTGGAAATACAAACTGACCAACAAGAGGACGATCCGGCGCTTCTGCCAGGTCAGCGGGGAACACACCTGGTTAACGTCCCTCTCCGATGGAGAGCTTGAGTCCACAAGATGAAATGTTAACTGTGAAAGTCCCGACTAGAAATGAAATAAACAGATTTCAAACAGAAGACTTTTCTCTCCTCAGGCCGCTGCTGTGCTGTTTCTGCTCATCACTGTCATCGTCAACATTAAACTCATCTTGGACACAAGAAGAGTCGCTAGTGAAGATGCAGCAGCCCAAGAATATGGTGAGAAACACGATAAAAACAGCTCCATCATCTGTTTGCTCCCAGGTTCATCTGTTGCTCCTGCCCCAGCTGCAGCTCCTCTCCTTCCCTTCCTTGAAACTCACTTTCTGTTGCTTCAGTGGTTGAAGTCTGGAAATATTAAAAACATACATTGGATAGATAATAGCATTGGTTGGACTGTTAAGCTTTTAGTTTCGTTAAATATTATTTTATCATGTTCAAATCGTCAAGAAGCCGAACCAATAAGTCACAGTCAGTGTTGATGTGGTTGAGCTCTGCCACAAATAAATCAATGCAAAGTAAAACACTGCATTACTTCTCTCACCTTTTAGTCCAACTAAACCTGATGAGACTGGTCACTGAGACGTCTTTAGCTTTGCTAATTTTGTAATCATCAAACACGTGTTGTGTAGCTAATCAACGCACGGTTGTGAAAGTGTTTCCCTCCTGAAAACATCTTTTCTGTCAAGAACCTAATTCTGGTCTTATGCTCCTGCAGAGGACACTGTACCAAACATGGAGACTCCACGCAGACCGGCGAAGGGACGCAAGGTCCTGGACATCGAGGTGTACTCCAGCCGCTCCAAGGTCTACGTGGCAGTGGATGGGACCACAGTGAGTCTGATTGTCTGACATGATCATGAAATACATTTTAAATCAATACACCAGGTTGGTTTAAGCTGCGTCTGTTATGTGCCTGTAAAATGTGTGTTTGTCGTTTGCAGGTTCTAGAGGACGACATGCGGGAACAAGGCAGAGGAATCCACGTGATAGTTCTCAACCAGGCAACTGTGAGTTTCCTCTGCTTTATGTTTTCTTCATATTCAATTTCACCAAATAACCATTTCGGTAATCGAAGGCTAAAAATCTTGGGGACCTCTGTGGAGGGAAATAAAAAACCTCTAATCTGAAAGCTGCGATGGATCAGTCACTGTTGCCGTGTGTCTCTCAGGGTCACGTCATGGCCAAGAGGATATTTGACACATACTCTCCCCACGAGGATGAAGCCATGATCCTCTTCCTCAACATGGTGACCCGAGGCAGAGTTCTCATCTTCACTATAAAGGTCAGTTGCTGCTGCTGCTGCTGTCCCACTGAGAAATCAGTCTGATGACAAACAAAGAACATGTGTGAGTTTTTTATCCTGCAGGACGAGGGCACGTTCCACCTGAAGGAAGCTGCTAAGAACCTGCTGAAGAGTCTCGGCAGTCAGGCGTCCCTCATCCTCAGCTGGAGGGACATGTGGACGCTGGTGGTGAAGAAAGGAGGTAGATCGGTTCATCTTCACTTTCAAACAGTCAGCAGCGTGGAGTCATTGTTCCCCCTGGTGTTTTGAGCTTGTGTCTCCACTTTGATTCAGTGCAGCTGGAAGGATAAATAGTATGTCATCACATTTGGTCACTGACTTGGTTGTTGAATATGGACATGACAGAAAAGTGAGGGAACAATGTTTTCCTCCTCAAAGTCCAGAAAACTAGAACCCGTAATGCAATTTAATAGAAAGAGATAAATCACATGAAAACTGGTTGAGAGTATTTGTGTTTTTGTGTGTCCAGGTCAAGTTTACGGAGAGAAGCACTCAAAGTCTCCAGCTCTGTCCACCTGGGGAGACCCGGTGCTGCTGAAGACCGAGGTGCAGCTCACAGCCTCTGAAGGTGAGATACAGTTGTAAGATGTTTTTGGTATAAAATGTTTCAGACAATTACTGGAGGTTCTTTATGTGAGAGGATGAGTCCTGCAGCCCCCAAGTAAAACAAATGTAAAATGGAGCCTGTGGTAGGTTACAGTAGGAAAAGGTCTGGAAAATCTACAGCGAGCAAGTTGGTGTGTTGATGAGGTTTCTAACACGGGACGGACGTGAAACTGGAAGAACACGAATCTCTCAGGATGAAGAAGAGGAGCGGTACACGTAGAAGACGAGGACGTCAACTTGGAAAGACGAGGACATTCAAGATCTTTAGGTGATGAGAGCCGAAGCTGGTGTGGACGAGCTGTAAACAACAACACTGATCTTTCCACCTGGATAAACTCCTGCTGCGTTCTTCAGATGTGAAAGCCGTGCAGCTTCATTGAGCCTTTGATGGCTACAACTGGAGCAAAATGCTGGAATGTTCAGATCAGAGCTGTGAAGCACTTGGTGATAACTTGTTGTAAACTATGATGTGTTCCTCCGCCCTGCAGAGGCAGAGTGTCATTGGGCCGACACTGAGCTGAACAGGAGGAGGAAGCTCTTCTGCAGCAAAGTGGAAGGATACGGCAGCATCTGCAGCTGCAAGGACCCGGCCCCCATAGAGTTCAACCCCGACCCTGTAAGAAGCACAATGAGTTGATTTAACTGCATTAAACTTCCTTCATAGTCCAATGTGAATTCAGATTATTTCTTATTTTTGATATTCAAATTTTATTCATTTAGACACTTTCAGATTTGACTCACTTTGTTTTCTTTCTCCCTCCAGCTCCCCAACAGCAAGGTCTTCGGTGTCCCTGTGGCCGTGATCGCAGGGAACAGACCCAACTATCTCTACCGGTGAGATCGGACAACTCACCGCACACATGATCTGAAAGACTTTCAGGCTTTTACTGTTCCCCTCTATGAGAGGAAACAAAATTGTGGCAACACTCGATAAAGAAACTTTCAGAAAGTCAAATCAAGGTTTTGTGTGTTTCAGCTGCTTCATCCTCTGAACCTCTGGTAGCTTGTGGAAGTTTTTGCTCCTTTCACATTTCGACAGATTCTAACTGAAATATGAAGTAGTTGAAAATTACAGTTGACCTGTCGGCTCTTGTTAAATGAGTACAAATCGTAGTCAGTGATACAGAGCCCAGAAATAAATGATTGTCGTTCCTCTGTTGTGCCTAAAACCAGAATGACATTCAGCGGTCGTGTTTTTCAGAATGCTGAGGTCACTTCTTTCAGCTCATGGCGTCAACCCGCAGATGATCACCGTCTTCATCGATGGATATTATGAGGTAACAGTTTTATTTCCTGTATGACTTTCAAATTAGATTTCAATTGGTTGTTTCTTTTAACATATTCATGTAAACATACATCAGTTTACTGAACCAGGATAAAAGAGACAAAACATTCAAATATCTCGTGTGTGTTTGATTTTTATCAACTTATTCTGTTGTAACACTTTAAGAAATAGGATTATCACGTGTATGAATCATTATATCTATACAGGATGTCAAATGACCACTTGGGTGTGAAGCGTTTAGTAAATACCGACCGTGTTGTCTGTGTGTGTCTCAGGAGCCCATGGATGTTGTCGAGCTGTTTGGACTGAAAGGAGTTCAACACACACCCATCAGCATCAAGAACGCCAGAGTATCACAGGTGAACACTTCACCCGAGCCAATTCCGGAATTAAAAGTTTGATATTACGTTTCCACTTTATCACCTGACCTGACCTGATGAGGTTTCTAACACGTGACGGACGTGAAGGTGTAACGGATGTAGCCTGAGATCTGAAGCATCTTGTTTCCAGTGTGAAGAATCAACACTTTGTCTCTTCTCTCTGCCGCAGCACTACAAGGCCAGTCTGACTGCAACCTTCAACCTTCACCCCGTGAGTCGATCACTTTCTTTATTTAAACGGTGACTGATCACAATACTGATGGTTTTCATGTTGAGCAGGAAGACGTGTTTGGTACTAAACTGAATGAAGCTCAACACAAATCAGACTGTTACCTCTTTAAATACAGCTTTTGACTTTATCGTTTTGTCTCTCATATATTCAGTGTTTATAAGGATCATTGTCAGTTTATTTTGAAATTCAGTAAATTAGCACTGATGCAGCATGTGGATGTTCTTCATTTTTATCAGGATGCTAATTTTGCCATTGTCCTGGAAGAAGACCTGGACGTCTCCATCGACTTCTTCAGGTATTTTTCTTCACTTTTCACAACTGATGCTGATGAAAAGTTGATTGATTCACAGACAAGGAATCAATTGATTATCTATTGTCTCCTTATTTAAGCAAAAATAAAAGAAGTTTGTGGATCGAAGCTTCTTTTCATATGAAGATTTTGGACGGTTTGATATTTTACTACATCAGTGGCAGCAGATAATACCCAGAAACCCCCCCTGCTGCAGGAGTCATCCCTAGATGGCAGTAGATCCACAGTGTTCGAGGGTTTCAGATGTCTTTGTTGTGTTGTTGTGTGTTTGCTGCTGTAAAAGCTGCAGCTCTGAGCCGTCAGCTCACTCAGCTCTAATAAACAAGCATCACACAGGTTTTTATTTCATCGTCACGGCTTTACACCAAAGCTTTTCCACCACGTGAGTTCTCATAAAGTCATGAATTCAATTTTCCATAAATTGTTTTATATTTGATTCCGACATAAAACAAGCTCCAGTTTCTTTAATCTATTTTCTTCAGTTGTAAAATCAGAGCCACGTGTGTCTGAAGAGGGCGCTCTTCACTCGTCTTAAAGAGTTCTTTTGAGTATTAATCGGTCCTGGAGTTTTCCGTCACCGTCTGTTTACTATAAAAGGCATTTTTTCATGACTGTTGTTTTTCTTGACATCGAAGCAGCTGTTCTCACATCACTGTTGTTTTTCTTGCAGTTTCCTGAGTCAGACCATCCACCTGCTGGATGAGGACGACAGTCTGTACTGCATCTCCGCCTGGAACGATCAGGTGAGTGCAGACTGCTTCACCTGCTTCACCTGTCCTCCTCCTCTTCTTCGTGGTTTAGACTCGCAGCCTAGTTCACACAAAATCTCTGTCGTTGGTCGTAATGCGATTATTTACAGGAATTCAGTTTCATCCACCTGTTAATGAATAAGTAAGAACCTCACAGTCAGGGTTTCAAAAGCAGCATCAGGCTGAGAAATGATTATTGTGTTACAGTTGAAGCGCAGGTTTGAGGGTGTTTAGCTGTTAGCTGTTGTGTAACTGACGTCTGAATGTCTGAACACAAGCGTCTTTAACAATAGAGCAAGTGATGAGGTGACTTATCGGTTTTCTTTTTCACCAGAGGGTGAAACCTAACATCGTCCACAGGGGGGGGGCAGCACAGGACTCTGTTCTTCTTCTGTTTCTAGATATAGAAACAAATCTTTTTCCTGCCTCGATGTGGCTGCGTTCATTCTCTGTCTCCCTGAAGAAAGGCGTCACTCAGACATGTTGTTGTTGTTGTTGTTTTCAGGGCTACGAACACACAGCGGAGGACCCGGCTCTGCTCTACAGAGTGGAGAGCATGCCCGGCCTCGGCTGGGTGCTGAAGAAAAGCCTCTACAAGGATGAACTGGAGCCAAAATGGCCGACACCTGAGAAGGTACAGAAGTTATCGTTTCACCCGAACAAGTGCTTCCCCACTTTTAATTTGGTGACGAACTGAGTCAAAGGAGCCAACTACTCCGGCTGTGATTTGTCATCAGATTTAACTAAATTAACACAAATACCACATTGATCCAGAAGATTTCTAAATATAGAAACGTTGACAGAATATTTCGAAGTTGATGAACTAGTTAGAAATGACGGAGGCCTTGACTTTCTGCTTCAAATGAAGTGAATGTTCCAAATATTCAGAGTTTTTATTTTAGATGGATTTGAACAGGATTGTGAGTTATAATTTTGAATTGTGTTAAAAACAAAGATCCTGTATGATTCTTTAACTGTGTGTGAGTTTGTGTTGAAGTTGATTTGAACTGTGTGTGTCTGTGTGTCCCAGCTGTGGGACTGGGATATGTGGATGCGGATGCCGGAGCAGAGGAAAGGCAGAGAGTGCATCATCCCTGACGTGTCCCGCTCATACCACTTCGGCATCATCGGCCTCAACATGAACGGATACTTTCACGTAAGCTCTAAAAGAAAAGTGAAAACTAAAGTCTCAATAATTCCAGAGAAACCTTAAATCTTGATGAAGTGAAAACAATCCATTTAAGCTGAGCTCAGACTACTGACCGATTTTATTTAGATTCAGACCCTGAGAATCTGAGGAGAAGTCTGTTCCAGATTGTCAGGGTCAGAACATCTGGTTCTGTGATGCGTCAGTCATTCTTAAACCTCCTTTGGAATCATTGGCACCGCTGTGATTTCATTTAACTAGTTTGGTATTCAAGATTTTAAAAAACGCCAGTACTTTCCGTTTTAAACCATAACAGCCAACCACGATTTAAAAATCTGAGCGTTAAGATATTAATACCTTTAACTCAGCCAGTCACATTCCAAGGAACAGTTCACTAGTCATGATTTCAGTTTTGTTTACCATCCATTTGCCTGATCGTGTTGTTCTCTCTCCGTCTTCTCTGTCGAACAGGAGGTTTATTTTAAGAAACACAAGTTCAACACTGTTCCCAACGTGCAGCTGAAGAACGTTGACGGGTGTGTACATGCAGGATGTGGAGTCACGCTGGTTTTCACACTATGAGCTCCCGAACATTATCTGAAAACAGACTTGAGCAGTGAAAGCCTTAATGTTTTTCTCTCCTTTTTCTTCACAGCTTAAAGAAAGATGCGTATGAAGTGGAAATCCAAAATCTGTTGAAGTGAGTCACTCTTAATGTTTTGAGTCTGTAGATGTTTTTAATTGAATAGAAACTACAAAATGAGGACATTTGGTGTAACTGTGTGTGTGATGTCAGGGAAGCGGAGGTGCTGGACCACACCAAGAACCCGTGCGAGGACTCGTTCCTTCCGGACTCTGAGGGGAAGGTCTACGTCATGTTCATTAGGATGGAATCTGAGACGGACACGTCCACGTGGACAGAACTTGCCAAGGTACATGCTCCTCATGGTCGTGATGTTTGAATGAAGAGCTGTTTATATTTTCGATTTATTCAAACATCTTCTGTGCTGATGAGATTAACCCTCGTAAGCAACAGGATGACACAGAACGTTCTGTCGTCTGTTCAGTGCCTCCATGTTTGGGACCTGGATGTACGAGGAAACCACAGAGGCCTGTGGCGGCTCTTCAGAAAGAGGAATCATGTCCTGGTGGTGGCTGCGCCGATCTCTCCATACTCGTGAGTACGATTTATTGATGCTTGTGGAGGAGACGATTGTCAGATTCCAAACTGTACTTTTAAAATTCAAATGACATCGGTCCGACAGAGAACAGATTGTTGAATCAAACCACCTCCTCTTTTTCAGCACAGACCTATCACTAGTGTCAAAACTATGAACTACAGAATGTTGAAGAAATGTTTATTTCATAATGACGATGACGGTGAAAGTTCCAAAAGAATTTTAAGCCATCGGCGTGTTGGCTCGTCTGCAGCCAAACACTGGGCCTCTGTCACTGTCTGTTGACGTTAGCTTAGCATTTTTACTAGCATCCGTCACAACAGCAGATGGCTCGAAGCCCAGACCAAAAACACTCAAACTCATGTCCCGTCACAGCGATCATAGCAAATGACCCATAACAAGCCCCTCCCCTCAGCACCAAATACAAGTTTGTCACAATCTCACCATCTTTTCTTTTCTTTCACCACTTCCTGTCCACTGTCTGCCTCTGTCCGTCTCTCTGTCACCACCAGTGTGAAGAAACCGGCCAGTGTCACCCCCATTCACTTAGAGCCTCCGCCCAAAGAAGAGGGAGCACCGGTGGAACAGATGTAGACACACTCACACACACACACACACACACACA